CAATAAAATCCAAGTGAAGTCATTTGTGACCCTTCTGAGTGGGCCTCAATAACCTTCACAGGTGACCTTATCCAGCTTCCCTCTTCTTGCACAATGGTAAGAACAGGAACAAGAGCAACCTGGGCAATCGCATTACGAACAAGGCAGTCTCCACCGTCCTGGGTGCTGGAACACTGTCCACCCTGACCTGAGCAGTTACAGGCTCTGCTGTGTGAGTAGGAGATACATTTTGGCTGGCTCAGCAAAAAAAGAGAGAGTTTATTTTTAACATAAGAAAGCCTCTCCTCTGTACTACACACAGTTGAGAATGGCTCACTCTCTGGCAAGCAATGACAGCCATGTTGTTATCACAACTTAAGAAATACAAGGCGTCTCCGGCACACCTTGCTCCCACTTCTATTCCAGTGTGCATCCCCCTGCTCCCGCACCAGAATGCAGCCACAGGCACCAGAGAGAAGATTTCTGCCTACACGGGTGACACACACAGTCCTGCGCTCTCTGGGAGAACACTACTGGGGAACCTAAGTAACAGCCTCAACTCATGCAAACTCATGCCAACATGTGCAGACCTTGGTCCCCTTATTCTGACTTGTGGAAACTTGTGTAGAAAAAGCATGTGTCAAGCAGCAGCCCTCTGAAGGGAAACAGGCATGAGGTGCTACATTAACTCAAAAACTCAGGTATCAAAACTATGACCTGCATTCTTCCCAGAACTCCTTTACAAGGTCATGGTTCCAAGAACATCTTCGCAAGGCTGATGAAGTCAATTCATGAGCATTTTGGAGGTACTGGCACCTAAGGAAACACTGAAATACATTCATTCATTCATTCATTCATTCATTCATTCATTCATTCATTTATTGGTGGAACCAGCGATTGAACTCAGGCCCTTGCGTTTATTCTACTGAGCCATCTCTCTGGCCCTGAAATACATTTTAGCATAGGTCTTAAAAGGACTGAATTTAGTGTGTAATTTCATTAAAATTATGAAGAGAAGATAAACCACATGAGGCACACTAGAAATTCTATGATAGGAAATTTTCTTGTTGCAAATATTCTCAATCAGATCAGAGTGTCTCTTACTACGCAGCACTCCCCCTTGTGCAGTCTCTCCTTAAACTAAGCCTAGGAAAGACTCCAAGCCCTTGCTGAGCACTCCACCCAGAGCACACTGCAAAAGGAAAACACTCATTCTTACTTCCAGATCAAATGCTTCTGCAGTGGCTTATCATTTGCTTTTCTACACATGCTTCCAGGAAAACCTATTGTGTGCTTTGGGAGTAGTGGCGCGTGGCTATAATCCCAGCACTCTGGGCCACTGAGGCTGGAAGATCACAAATTTGAGTCCACCCTAGGAATTTAGCAACTTAATGAAAAACTGTCTCAAAATGAAAACAAATAAATTAAAAGGACTGGGGATGTAGCTCAGAAGACTTTGAAGAAGGAGAGAAGGAGGAAGGGAAACAAGGAAGGAAGGGAAACAAGGAAGGCAGGCAGGCAGGCAGGCAGGCAGGCAGGCAGGCACCAGGCAGGCAGGCAGGCAGGCAGGCAGGCGAGAGGTGTGAAGCCCCTCCCTCCAGTTTTGCACTAAGTAACCAGTTTTTGAGAAATCACAACCTCTCTAGTCTCAGTTTTCTCATTGTCAAGCACGATGAATAGAAGAAGGAATTTCTCCAGCTCCCTTGCCACTTCTTTCAGTCTATGTATCACCATGTATGCATTTTTAATTTCAGATTAATAATAAACCCCAATTCCTTTACTTTTTAAGGTATTTGTGTTACACATACAATCCATAATTTAAAACAGGACCTTAAAATAGTACTCTACAGTTAATTATATTAGAATCTAGAGTATAAAGGTTCCTCAAGGAATACAAAGTAGAACTGCTTGCTATGTGAATCAACAATCTCACTTTGAGTGTAAACCCAAAGGGACGGAAATCAGGGTGCCAACCCACACTCTGCTGTTTGTTGTAGCAATATTCACAGTGGCCAAGTTACGAAATCAAGCTAGGTGTCCACGAACAGATAAACAGGTGAAGAAGATGTGGCATATATACACCATGGAACTTCATTCATCTATGGACAAGAAATAAAATCCTGTCATTTGTAGCAACATGGAGGAATCTTAGTGCATAAATCAAAATAAGCCTGATGCAATTTTTTCACTTATATGGAAGCTAAAATGTCTATTTCGTAGATATAATAAGCAGAATAGCGGTTTCAGAGACTGGGAAAGCTATGAGAGAAGAGGGAATAAAAGAGTATGTGAATAGGCAAAGACTTAAAGCTACAATAAGTGGGCAATGATAGTGGACAATATTCTTTGCATATTTCGAAGTGGCTCAAAATAGGACTTTGTTCCTAACACAAAAAATAAAATAAAGGTTTGAGGTAATGGATATGCTCACCTTAATTTGCTTACTACACATTGCATATATGTGTTAAAATACCACACTATACTGCATAATTATGTACAATTAAAATTGTTAAAAATTTTAAGGTTGCTTGAAAAGATCATGCCGCATTCTCCTAAATAGGAAGTTTTCATACCTGCTATTCCACTCAGCAAAATTCATTTATCAAAATCCATTTAATATATCATGGGTAGACATCTCCCAAAATATAGTTTCTTATTGTGTTTACTAGAAAGAATTTTTAATGAGCAGCTGCCTCAAAATTAATGAATGTGCATAGCTTACACTATAAAGTTACAAGCTAACTCCTATTATAACTAATATAGTTTCAGCGAATAGCTCAGCCAGCCATACTCCAGCTGAGGGCCTATTTAGAACAGAATGTGACCCTAACAGATTTATAAGAGCACATCTGAGCTCAGAATGGACTTTGAATAAACTATCCCGTAAAATAGCATACTAAAGAATTCCAGCAAACCCAGGAAATCCTACAATATCTCAATTCTTCCTATTGGCTCTTTTTAAAAAATATTTTTTTTCATCTTTATTTGTTTATTTGGTACAGGGTTTTGCTATGCAGCTTGGACTCAGACTCATAGTGATTCTCCTGTCTCAGCCTCCCCAGGGGCTGGGGAGATGGATTAGTGGAATAAGCACTTCCTTGGCAAGTGTAAGGGTCTGAGTTCAATCCCCGGTTCCACCAAGGAAAAAAAAAAGAGTTCCATTCAGTCTCCCCAGCACTGGGATTACAGGCATGTGCCACCATGCCAGATTTTGGGGACTGGCACAGGTGTGCCCCAGGTTCTGGGGCCAGCACAGCATGTGGTACCAGGGATCGAACCCCAGTCCTTGTGCTTGCCAGGCAGGTCCTTAGACTGCCCAACTATCTCACTGGTGCTTCCGAAGCACTTTTTTCTATAAAAGAAAACAAAAACACATTAAATAAAGCTAAATACTACTTTGCCAAAACTTAAAAAAAAAGCTAAATCAGAAGTCATTGAAAGAAAATAATTATACATCTTGCTGGTGCATTTGTTCCATTTTTGTGAACATTCACACTTATGTAAGGGATGTTTCCATCACTTCTTTCACTTAGATTTCCACATCCTAGCATTAATTATTGTATGTAGGCAAATTACCAACTTTTCCTATTTAACACTAAATAAACATGGCCTTATAAAATTATACTACACCAAGTAATAAATAAATAAAATCTTCTAAAATCATCATTTTATAACTAGTTTTGAAGGAGGAGACCGTGACATCACAATTTGGAAAAAAACTGTACATTTCATCACTGAAGTCTAGCGTCATAGTTTGTTTACTTATAATCTTAGTCATACATATAGAAAATCTACTCTTCTAGACCCTACAATCTAAAGTTAATATTTAGGAATATTTTGAGAACTGGTATAAAAAAGTAAACGGATAAAAACACAAGGCAGATATGTGGTAGATGACAGAATTACAGTTGCAGATCAACACACACCCACATCTGTGGCCAGTATAAGGGACACAGAATCACGAACATAACACACCAAAACCCTGATGCAAAGCAAAGTCCAGTATCCAGACACGTAGCCTGCCCCACAGCCTAACTCCGATGGCCCTTCAGGAGCCGCATAACTGATTTATTTTCATCCAGATGGCCAGCGATCTGAGCAGACTTGGCATGCTGACTGGGTCTTGGGCATGCTTATTCAGTGAGTCCTGAAAGCCATTATTCACTAATTTCATGTGGAAATGAAATTTCAGCTTCCCATTGTGTACAAATAACTTGGGCACTTACCCCACATACAAAAAGTGCTTTTTGTCAGGCAGGAATGGACGGCTGGAATGCCAAATCCTTCCTGTATGCTTCTCTGGCCCAGACCCAAGCTGGCATATGGCAGCACCACCAACCACCTCCGTATAAAGTACTACGTGAATGCTTCAAGCAAACTCTGATAATGCAATTTACAGAACACATACTGGACTCTTCTCTTTGGACTCTATTTTCCTTCAGGATAGAATACTCATCTCAATTTATAGAAAAGCATTTCATTATGTTTTTGCACTTTGCCTCCAACCTGTCAACACTGACTTTAATGAAAGATAACTTCAACACAACTTCGTTGTATTTAAGAAACATCATGAGTTTCTAAGTTTTCTTACCTTAACATTTTCTTATTATAGAATAAAATCTTTGACAGAGGCTTCATTTTCTACTTCAATTCAGGAACTGGTAGGCAAAGAAAAACTGACTTTCAGAGAGCAAGTGAGATGTTTCAGCAAAGTTCAGGGGCTTTGCTTAAAAGATTCCCACACTGCTTATAAACAACTATTGGTATTTTCTGGAACTTCATTCCAGAAATTGTTTGCTTTTAAATGTCAAGAACTCTCTTTCCTGCCCTCTTTTGGGTTTTATTTCCGACTTAAGTGTACTACCCAGCAATAATAATTAAAAATAAAAAATTCACAGAAACACAATGACATGTCGTACTCTACTTGAGAAGCACCAAATATCTTAAAACTTTATCAAAATCAAGACTTTTAGCTTTTGCATGACTTTTGGCTCATCCCCAAGGAGATTTATTTACATCCAGTGCTCGCGTAGGCAGCACATCTACTAAAACTGGAAGGACATAGAGAAGATTAGCCTGGCTCCTGTGCAAGGATGACACACAAACTTGTAAAGTGTTCCATATCTAAAAAAAAGAAAAGGCTTATTTACATCTTGTTTGCAAAATATAATTTGTATTTATAAATACAGGCATTTGTCTCATACTTAGCAGTTGATACAAGTTGTATCTCCGGGACTGATATTATTTCCCAAGGGAAATTCCCAGAGACTTGAGATATGGTTGTTTATGATGATCCCTTCTCTTCTCATTCTGAGTTGTAAACGGCTTTCCCTCCTCCCTTACTTTTATCTACGCTGCCATAAGGCTCCCTTTACAGGAGGAGGTCTCTTGCTTTCCATTTACTCCAGGAAAGTGTTTGGTCTGGCAGGTCTTCCCCAGGTTGGTTTCTAGATAAACTGCAGGGTGAGATGAATGATATGTATGTAGGGATGTTTTGGGCATTAAAAACAAAAATGACCAAGACCATACCAGCTTAATGTTTCTACTGAATTACTCATCCAGTTTCAAAAATAGCAATGCTGTCAGAATCTGACTTGTTTAAACATTCTGGTTTCTTCTAAACAATAGAAACAACAGAGAGAATACGAAGCAAAATCAATTTGTATTTATCCCTGGAATCACTCTATTATTGGAAAATGGCCTGCCATTTAAAAAGTCTTACTTGGTGTTCTAATAGTGTTTGTAAATAGGATATCATGTCTGCATCTTGTACGGCAAATAACCACTAGGAAGAGAGTATGCAATGTGTTAATTATTGAAACTGTCCTACCAATTTGATTTGAAACTGTCTCATTGCTATATGTCTCTCAATAAAATTATGTAAAAAGATTAATTAAATTATAAAAAATGTCTTACTTGGACTCTGGGTATCTTAAGTGCATTTAGTGTATACAGCTAAGGGGGTGGGCATCCTTAACCAAGTTCATACAATCTTTGGAAGTCACTTTGCTCGATCAGCTTTGAAACAAACACAAATGGAAAATCATGCTTGGAAAACCATAAAGACACTACAAGATACTTACTTCTCAATTGAAAGATATGTAAATAATAAAACTAAAAAGTCTGTATCTTTCCTCATCTTCACCTTCTACATCTTTACTGGGAAGGCTGTTTACGGCAGTCTTAAATGACACAGTGTGTACATTGTATACAAGATCAGATGATCACAAGTATTTGTGTTAGGTGACCACGAAATTTAGAGTAACATGATATATCTTCTGTGTGTACTTTCTTTCCCAAAACAGACAAAAAAAGTAAGACTTTACCATAATGTTTCTTTCAAATATTAAATACATTTTTAGATGACAAAACTATACTAAAACATCCAAGCTACCCACTTCTTGGGTCTTTGAGAAATCATTTTTCATATTCGTCTTTTTAAAAAAAATCTGGAAATAGCAAAATCTGGGTTCTTCTATAATGTAAGAGTGGCCCCATTTTTAAATTCACAAACCAGAGTTTCTATGTGCAGGGCAAGACACTGCTCCACAGAGTTGTACTTGGAGACAGAACCTTTGTGTGCATCGTTATTGAACAGAAAGGCAGGTCTAGTCAAATCTTGGACCTGTGATGGGATTTTAAGTCTGCCTCTAACAGCCACTTGATTGAAGAATTTTCCAGCATTTCATTTATGGAATAGCAAGCTCCTGGCAATGCTTGTCTTGGCAGCTATCATAATGTAATGGAGAAAGCTTAGGAAGAGCTTCCTCCACAGCTTTTGCTTTTGACTCGGCCTAGTAGCTATGGAAACCATCTTGCCCAGGTCCATCGGTCTTCTTTCTTGCAAACTACATGAAATAAAACTATCTCTTACCCTTGTTGGAAGCTTCATTTTTCAACCCAGTCACCTTATCTAAGCATCCTCCACCTTTAGCTCAGGCATTTGCTCACTAGAGCGATCATATTTGATGGATAATTTGGATTTGAATCAGGAAATACGTGATGTTAAGCCAAACTTAAATCCATCTTTATTGTCGCCCACAATCTATTTGTCTGTACAAGACCTTCCCCACATCCAAAAAATTAGGGAATTTTCAATTTTGCAAAAAGTCAAAGCAGAATAACTTATCTTCCAATATTCATAAATTTGTCTCATTACTTTATCATCACCTTCCTCTTTAACATCCCATCAGTCTCACATGATGTCTTGATAGAGCACTGTGCACAGAGCATTATTTTATGCACAGTAAACATAATGCTGAAATCATTAAAATCTATGATACCCAACACAGTCCTAAAGAAGGACAATGAGCCTCAGGACATACAAGAACTATTATAAAGTGCTGCATTAAGACAGTGCCTTTGAAGGAAAAATATTTCATTAATAGACCCATGGAACAAAAGGCAGATCCAGAAACAGATGCACCCATGGTTTACTTAAGTGGTCCCCAGAAGGGCAGTGACAAGGGAAGCAACAGGGAACCAAGGATCTCTTCCTATAAGATTCTGGATCACCAGAGAAGTAATGGACCCAGTTCTTAAGGACTGTAACAAGCCAGAAACTAATTCCTCACGGACTCTAAATATGATAGACAACAATAAAACTTTTATTGAATAACAAAACCAAAACAATGCAGATCTTGACAACTAGAGTAAGCTCTAGGGCTTCTTAGGGGAAGTAAACAGTACTAAGAGGTGAAACCTGATAAATGGGCTCTCTTAACAATATCTCTTCCGCAAGACAAATTCAATAAAATTAAGAAGACACAAAATGGAATAATATATTTTCAGTATCTATACTCAATTAGGGACTTGAAAATAACAAGCATCTGTGATCAAGAACACAGAGAAAATAAAGCCTTCATTCCCAGCTGGTAGAGGGTAAATGAGTATGACCATTTTGGTGAACTGTTTGATAGTATCTTCTATAGCCACACAGATGTCTATTCAAGGTCCACAAAGCAATTGCCAAAAATATGTACAAGAGTGTTCGTACTAGCATGCTTCACAAAAAGCCTGAATCAGGAAATACTCAGTTGCCCAATGATGACCCACTTATAAATAGCTATAGTGTGTTCAGCTAATAGAACATTATACACTTTTATGGTTTGTGTCTAGAGGTCCTGTCAAGGCGGCCTGCAGCCAATGGGGGTGGGCTTCTACAGTCTGTGATTGATTTGTGGTCCAGTTCTGGGATTACTTGAGGCAGGTAGCCTGCATATGACACATGCGAGGGGAAGAGGCTTGCTCTGGCTGCTCTTAGGACCCCTTTTCTTTTGCTGTCTATTGCAAACATCAGCTACTGCCTCTGCCATGTGTCAATCTGTCTTGGAACCAGCCAAGTGTGCACTTGAAACCTCCACAAACTGTGAGCTAAAGAAACCTTCTTCCCTTCCTTAAGTGGGTGTGTTGGGTGTTTTGTCCCAGAAAAGAGAGAAAAGTAACCAAGACAAACAGTCACTAGCAAGAACAATTTATATCTATTTGCAATACCATAGGTAAATATCACAATTACAACTTTTACTGAAAAAAGAGATAAAAAACAAAACACAGCTATTGAATCACTGCTCCTAAAAAGCTCATAAAACTCTATGGTAACATAAATCAGAATAATATTTGATTGCAATTAAAACAAGTCACAGGTATATTCTTGGGTCCTTTTTGAGTTGAATTCTGTCCACATGGGTGTTTTCAGTTTGTGACATATCAACATGCCAACCCTTTGACTTGTGTGCAATTCTATATGCATGCAATAATTTAATAAATGGTTTTGGACAATTAAAGGCATCATCCCTACTTTCAGTGAACAGATGATATAATTTTATTAAATCCAGACAAATTAGTGAAAAAACATGAGCACATTACAGGCAATACATCACAATTAGTTTCAATTAGCACATTCAGCAACTTCCTATACTGCAACCAGTATTTTAGTAATGATAAAAACATTTATAGATATAGGAAAATTTCTCTACTTAACAAGAGTTTATAGCTCAAAGAAAGAGAGGAGCTAAAATTTAATTTAACACACGCACACACACAAAGAGAAACAGCAGACACTAAATGATTATAATGCTAAGGCAGTCCACTCTCATATGTTCCAACAGCTGTGCTACAGGGATTGAGAAAGAATGATGGTCAGGGCCTGAAATTATCAAGAAAGGCCCCATGGAAGAGGCAAGTGTGAGCCCAGAATAGAGGCCAGAAGAGCATCTGAACTCCCAGTCTCAGGAGGCAGCACTGGGAGTAATTCTTGGGAGGAGACTGTTTCAGGAGAGGAGTAGGGAGCCTGCATAAATTAAGTCCTGGGGGGCGGGTACATAGGGAAGAGTCACTGGCCAAAGTAGGAAAAGCACACAATGCCAGTGACTCTTCAAACTGTGGGTTATAGTACACTGACAAGGAATAAAACAAAAATAATAAAATAAAAATCATTTTAGGATGCTGCAACTAATATTCTTTAAGCATGTCAGAAGGTCACACCCGAGTCCTCTACACAGGTATTATTCAGGACTGTGCAGACTGCATGTGACGAACAAGTGAAGCATCAACACAATGGTCGTCTCACCTACCTCTGCCTGCAATACATCAAATGTATAGTATTCACTCATGAAATTCTTGGCTTTGTGATGTGTACATATTTAAATACAAATAAACACATATATGCATACAGTTGAAACATAAAACATATTTCTTTTAGTATTTGCAATCAAAAAGGCTTGGAAATTATTCCTCTAAAAGTAGAGTTCTGTAGAATTCATTGAGCAAGAAAAGGCTTGAATATGGGCCAAAGAAGACTGAAGTATGAGGAGGTGCAGAATAAATGAACAAACAGACTGGTGATGTAGAGTCTACATTCAGAAAACAGCCGAAGCTTCTCCAGTTGTGCATAAGTCTTAGGGGTTGTTTATTCTTTCTGGCTGCCCTATTTCCCAAGGAGCCCAGCCCAGCATCTACTCAGTAACTCTGAATGGGACTTCAATTCAACCATTTTCAAATTCTAATTCTTCTTGCCCAATCTATCTAGTAAATTTTGAGACCTTACAAACTGAATCCTTTATATTCTATGTACTATTTATAGCTTTTTAAAATTGTGTTCCATTTATTTAAAACACCAAATAAGCCCCA